TCCAGGTTCCAGGGGCTTGGTGAACGTGTCCGCTATTTGGTTTGCTGTATCAATTGCTTCGATTTGAAGTCTTCCTTGTGCCACATGGTCGCGCAAAAAATGGTGCTTTACATCGATGTGCTTGACACGCTTGCTTTCGGTGTTTGTGGCCATTGCAATGCACCCACGGTTGTCTTCGTACACCTTGAATGCCGTGTCCGGTCGAACTTGCTTCAGGTCTTCAAGGATTCCGTGCAGCCACAGCCCTTCGGAGGCGGCGGCACTTAAAGCTGCATACTCGGCTTCACACGACGACAGTGCAACGGTTTGTTGCTTGCGGCTTGCCCAAGACACGGTGTTCCCAAAGACCTTAAAGACGAAGCCACTAACGGATTTCCTATCCTCAGCATCCGATGCCCAGTCAGCGTCTGCGTACCCGACAAGTGCCTCGGCGTCGTCGTTTTGCTTGTACTGGAGCTTCAAGTTCTTCGTTCCCTTCACGTAACGGACCACTCTCTTCAGGGCTTGCCAGTGGGCCTCATCAGGTTGAACTTGGAAGCGCCCTAGGTATCCAACAGCGTAGCATATGTCCGGTCGAACACACAGCATCGTATACATTAGGCTGCCCAGCAATTGACGGTATGGATGCGACACAGGATTCGCAGCTTGTGGTGGCAGGAAACAGCCTTTCTCCATTGGGGTTTTGACATGGTTACAGTCTTGCATGCCGAACTTCGTCAGCACACGGTCCACAGCAGCTTCTTGCGCCAGGTACATGCATCCGGTGGCGCGGTCGTATCGGATCTTCATTCCAAGGAAATGATTAACCACGCCGCAATCCGTCATCTGGAGCTTCTTGGAAAGAGCACGCTTGATCTCCTTCACCAGGTCCAGTCGATCGCCAGCAATGAGCAAATCGTCCACGTAGATGATTATGTATACCCCCCCTCGATCGTCGATCCTGGTATATAGACAGTAATCATGCCGGGAACGGGTAAAGCCGAAATCCAGTAGAAGGTCGTTTAGCTTGTTGTTCCAACAGCGGGGGCTTTGCTTGAGTCCGTACAGCGATCGATCCAGCTTGCAAACGAAGTTCGGCGGTGCTGCAACTCCTTCGGGTATGGCCATGTAGACGTCTTCTTCAAGCTCACCGTAGAGGAATGCGGTCTTCACATCGAGTTGGTGAACGTGCATCCTTCGGTGGGTTGCTACAGCAAGAACGGTTCGTATCGTGGCTAACTTTGCTACGGGGGAATATGTTTCGTTGTAGTCGACTCCGGGCTTCTGTTGGAATCCCTTCGCCACCAAGCGCGCCTTGTAACGGATCGGTTCGCCATGCTCGTCCGGCTTGATTCGGAAGACCCATTTCGATTTGAGCGGAACCACACCAGCAGGGCATCTCACCAATCGCCAAGCATGGTTGTCCGCTAGCGACTGCAGTTCCTCACGGACCGCTTGCTGCCAAAGAGCTTCGTCGGCTCGTCCAGCGATCTCCTTGTACGCCTCCGGGATATCGAAGATCGAACGCTCGGCCTCATCTCGTCCAACGGAACCGTCAAATAGTACATCGGAAACGTTATGGGGAACATCTGCAGAATGGGATTGCGCGGCAGTGAAAATTTTTCCAACCAGAAATTCTTTCAACTTACCGGGGAGTCTGCGCTCCCGTTCGCTGCGCCTCGGGGTTTCCATTTCGAGGTTTGAACCACGGTCTAGTTGCGAAGGGAGCGCTCCGGTTTCTTCAACACCGTCGTCTTCAACCTCGCCTTCTTCATCATCAGTCAGGATGTCGTCATGTTGAGCCACCAGCGGCTCATCGGGTTGAACGGACTGTTCAGGGGTTTGCACGTCTTCCTCATCTTGATCCTCGAACTCGTACGGAGCAACAACCAAAGGAGTTTCGTCACGGATCTGGGTGGCAAACGGAAAACTGTTTTCATCGAACTTGACACCTCTGGCTAGGAATAACTGCTTCTTCTCTTTGTTCCACAGGCGGTAGGCGTTCGGCGCATAGCCGATCATCACAGCAGGCTTGCTTTTCGGATCCAGTTTCTTCCTCTGTGCCATGGACACCCAAGCAAATGCTTTACAGCCGAACACACGTAGTTTACTAACGTCCGGCTTGTGACCAGTCCACATTTCCGCAGGAGTCTTCCAATCAGATACCGTGGTGGTTGGACTTCTGTTCGTCAGGTATACCGCCGCTAGAACCGCTTCATTCCACAGATTCTTCGGAGTTTGGGCTTCAATCAGCATCGCACGCACCTTTTCGACGATTGTCCGATTGAACCGTTCGGACACTCCATTCTGCTGTGGTGTGTACGCTGCGGTTGGCTCGACTTGGATCCCCTTGGAAACGTACCAATCACGCTGGTCATTGGAGCAATACTCGCGCCCTTGGTCGACAGTCAGCTTCGAAATCGAATGTCCCAGAGCGGCACTCGCCATGGCCTCGTACTCTCGAAACTTCTGGAACACCTCGGACTTCTTCTTGATGGGATATACTACTGCAAAGTGCGTGTAATCATCAATAAAGGTGACGAAGTACCGAGAATCATCCCAAGCCGCTGGTGTAATTGGACCGCACACATCGGAGTGCACTCGTTCTAGAGGTCTTGTAGCACGGACTCTAGTACCCGTGAATGGTTCTCGGCACTGCTTTCCGAGAACACAAACATCACAAAAATCCAATTTATCTGGTTTCTCGGGAATACCTGTTACCATGCCATGCTTCGCGAGTGTCTGCAAACTCTTGCTCCCCAAATGAGCCAGTCGACGATGCCACAGGTTACCAGTCACAGCTCCACACATGTTGGCCGCCACCGTATCGACACGGAGATCGAGCTCGTAAAAATCGCCCCGCATGGGACATCTCGCAATCAGGTCACGACCTTGCTTCATGATCGCTTCCTTTTTCGTGAATGTGACATCAAGATCCGCTTTTGCCATCTTCTTCACAGATAGCAAGTTCGCTCGAAGATCTGGTACGAAGAGGACGTTCTTCAAGCTGATATAGTTACCTTCCTTGTTGACGCCGTTGATCGTGCCACTGTGCCGGGAAATCAGGGATTGATCATCCTTCGCCACGTTTATGACGACAGGGTGCTTCAGCTTCGTGAGGTCGGCGAAACAGTGCTTCACATTCACAAGGTGGTCCGAGGCTCCGGAATCCAGCTTAAAGGAAACTGCTCCCTCGTCCTTTGTTTGGGAGCATATCCCGGTCATAAAAGCCACCGCCTTACCTCCAGCAGCAGCGTTAGCTTCAGCGCGCCCATCTGTCTTCAACTTCACACGACAGTCCTTGGCCTTGTGCCCCTTCTTCTGGCAACGGTTACACTTTCCGGTGAACTTACCAGGCTTCTGCTTCGATCCTTGGAATGCGGCAGGAATCCGCTGCCCGGTCGGTTTTCTTGAGCTCCTCGGCAAGAAGGCGCTCGCGAACAACATCCAGTTTTAGGTTTTCCTCACCTAGATTTTCCAGTGCCGTAACCAACGGATCGAACGACTCGGGAAGGGTAGCAAACAGCTGGGACACAATATCGTTCTCTTCAAGCTTCGCTCCGGCCAGCTTCAGTTGTCGGATCAGCTCTTCGAAGGTTTTCAGGTGATCTTTCACAGACGAACCTTCCATCATTCGTAGCTTCGCAAGTTGCTTCCTGACGAATGTCTGCGACGAGACGGACTTCTTGGCGTAGGCGGATTCAAGGCTCATCCACATCTCTTTGGACGTCTCCTTGTCCCGCACCAAATGCAGCAAATCGTCATGAACAAATGACGTCAGCAGGAACGCCGCCTTACCGTCATCTTCCTGGAACTTCGTGAGCTCGGCCGCTTCCATCGGAGGATCCTTCTTGATGATATCCAACAGCTTCACGGACTTCAGATACTTCTCCACTCGAAATTGCCAATTGTCGAAACCGGTGCCCGAGAACTGCGGGATCCCGTGGACCAAATCCTTGCGTGAGTCGCCCATAACCTCTTGATTGTTAGAAAGAACCGGAACAGCAAAGTTTAAAAGTAGAATGGATTTTATTTAACGACTAGCTTGAGTGGAGTCTTGAACAGGAATGAAAAGTTTTTCACCTTTGTTTATTTAAGAAAACTTAGGTTGCTAGGGGTGACGTTCGGTCTCCAAGGAGGTGATCAGCACACTGCGTTACCGATTTACTCTTACAGTATGCAATTTAGAAAAAAACAAAATCGCGGCACTAAGTCTACATTGATTAATTGATAATTTTGCTCGGAATTTCTGAGGGCTGTTTTTAAAGCACCCGGCTTCGGAATCGATATGATGATGGTATATTTTCTATAAACTCATGATGGTATTCAATTTAGAAAAAAAAATCACGAATCTCTAGGTCTATGCAGAGGTCCGTTTTCTGGCCAGAATCGATGTGGTGGTGTATTTTTTTTCTATACCATTGACCATTTTCCCGGTGACTCCAAATTTCCGCAGAGGCAGACGGGTTTTCTCGTCCCAGCTGGCCAATTACAGGTACCATCGGTTCTCTATATATTTCGTTCGAAAGTAGATAGTCATACCTTTCAAATAGTCATGTCAAAATGAATCGACACGCATTTTGCTCAGGACTTTTCCGGGTTTTTTTTCCATTCCGGATGGTTAACCGTCAACAGAAAGTCATCTGCCATACCTTTCGAATGGTGGCTGAATCATGGTGATTGATCATCGCGTTGCCGAGAACCAGCCATGTCAACCATGAATCGACACACATTTTGCAGCCTTGGTGCTGTGAGGAAGTTTTGATGGCTTGGGGTTCTGTCAGTTAATAATTAATTCATTAAATTTTCTAATTAATCTAATTAAATATTCGTTTTCTGTTATTCACATATCACGAATCATTTAAGCTACTACTATCGATTTGTTTTATTTAACTTAAAACCGGAACATTGTAATATTGAATCTACGGAAATTGATTGTCATATAGATACTGTGCCAATACGTCTCGCACATGATATGCATTTCGTGACGCATTATTACCACGTTGGATGCAGTCACCATTTCAACCATCAAGAGGATCAACCTGCAATCGCCACTCTCCAGGAGCTATTATTTCCCCATTGTGATCAACATGGTCTACAAATGACGACGAGGCAAACAGCTGTCCCTCGCAACTTTTGATAAAATTGTGGACTACAACAGTGGATTTAACTATGTTTTCAGCTGCTGTCGGATGTAAGTGGAGTGGTGCTAATAATATTCTCCAACGGGCTACGAGGATTCCAAAAGCGTTTTCAATCGTCCTACGTGCTCTTGACAGTCTGCAATTAAAATTTTCTTTTATAAAGGGTGATACTGTCAAAATTTGGTCAATATCAACTTGACGTATTTTTTTCAATTTTGCATTTAAAAAACCTGAACACCCCTCATTTTGAAGGTGTGTGTGTGTAGAATGTTGCTCCTATTTTGATTTTGGAATTCACTCTTCAGTTGTCAAAATGCCGTCCAAGCAAGAAGAGCAGCGTATCAAAATTTTGCTCGCGCATCGCGAAAATCCGAGCTACTCGCACGCAAAGTTGGCAAAATCGCTAAAAGTTGCCAAATCAACCGTTACAAATGTAATTAAAGTGTTTGGGGAACGTTTGTCGACAGCCAGGAAGTCTGGATCGGGGGGAAATCGAAAACCGGAAGCCGCTGAGACGACAAAGAGAGTTGCCGGTAGTTTCAAGCGAAACCCTAACCTCTCTCTCCGAGATGCCGCAAATAAGCTGGGTGTATCGTCTACAACCGTGCATCGAGCCAAAAAACGAGCCGGACTATCGACTTACAAGAAGGTAGTGACTCCAAATCGCGATGATAAACAAAATACGACGGCCAAAGCGCGATCCCGGAGGCTGTACACGACGATGCTGACGAAGTTTGACTGCGTGGTAATGGACGACGAAACCTACGTCAAAGCCGACTACAAGCAGCTTCCGGGACAGGAGTTTTATACGGCAAAAGGAAGGGGAAAGGTAGCAGATGTTTTCAAGCACATGAAACTGTCAAAGTTCGCAAAGAAATATCTGGTTTGGCAAGCCATCTGTACCTGTGGCTTGAATGTCCAAATTCACTGTTAGCAAAAACGCTTCCATCAGCGTTACCTCCATATGCTCCGATATCAACAGCAAGAAAATTGTAGTTTGCGTCGCACATGGCCATAAGCACTATTGATTTCCAAGTATCACTTATCTAAGATAAGCTATTTATTTCAGCTAATAAAACCAGTGTTCACCAACTTTCCCACAATTTTTAATCAAACATCCATCAGCTCTGCCTGTTTCTCAAAATCCATTTTCCCATATGTCTTGACAAACTCATAAAACTAGTCCATTTCCTCAATCAACCGCCACAAAAGAAACCATCACAACTCATTTACCACCCCCACTGCCTCCAACAACTCCCCAATCCTCATTTTCACCGACACAATTATCGAGAAATAATAACAAACGCTCTGAACCTGACCGCGGCGACCTCGTTCTCGGAAAACACAATAAAGCCATCAAAGAAGCATAAGCATCCGAAGAATCGAAATCGGGAGGGAAAAAATCTACAAAGCTTAAGAACCACCTCCTCAAAGCGAGCATCATCAATCTGTCCCCATCATACATGTCGTCGCGCTGGTCAAACTCCTACTTGCAGCTTCGAGCGGTGTATCTCACGGATCGCAAACATCTTCTAATGAATAAATAGTTTATTTTAATGGTCCTCCCCTACCGAGAGCGACTACTACTAGAGACGTCGTCGTCGTTGTCGTCTTCAGCCGTCGCAGCAGCAATTGAATCAATTCCCGATTTATTACACCTCCACACGGTACGCCCCCCTTCCTTCCTTACTTCCACCGCACTCACGCGAGCATTCTCTACCGAGAAAATCGTCATTAAACTGGAGATAATTTCATCCTAAATTCCCGCCACGAGAATTAATTACAGCCGTTTGGTATTGGCCGTCGTCTTCGTCGTCGTCATCGTCCCATAAATCGCGCATACCTCACTCTTCTTCCTATTCTAGATAGTGTAATTCAGATACCTCTCTCACTCTCTCTAAAGGCTGAATTGAACGACATCCAAGTGGTCAGTTAAATCTAATTATCGGTATCGTCATAGTCGGCGGTGCTAGACGGCGTTGTGTCGTTGTAATAATATGGCAGTTGATTGCACTTGGAAGCCATCTTCTTTATTCAAAGAAACCCGGAAGGAGGAGCGGCGGTGGTTGTTATGAATAGGAACAGTGAAGCTCTTTAATTGTTTGTTTGATTGAAGCGTTACGCGGTGGAGCTTTGAACTTGTTGATCGAAAAAGAAAGCTCGTAACGAACGGTCAAGGACATAACCTCACTTAATATTTGACATTTAGCTAAGTTTTTGTTTGAATAAGACACAACAGACAATGATCATACCGCCCACCCACGACGTCGAATCCTAATGCGGTGTTATCTTTTTACAACTCAGAGCACGCAAAGGAAGTGCCCCAGATAAATCAATTTAATGCCGACCTTCGGATGCACAGTCATTTTTCGGGTTCGTTTTTGATCTTCGGTCGTCCACGTCGCCGCCGCCGTCGTTGTCAACTTTGAAACCCGTGTTTACCGACAAAGAAGGAATCATTCTTTGAATCGCTAGCTGTGATATAATTTACCGAAACGAAACACTGCCGAACAGCTCGGTAATTTGCCTTCGGCCGACAAAGGAGGTTGGGGAAGGAAATGAAGATGTTTGCAAAAGGTCAATTTGGGTATAAAGTTGCAGCAATTTTTGGTCAAGGTCCGAACGCAAATCAGAATAAACATAAGTAAAGTAAATTGATGTAGTATCTGACAAAACCAATACCATAAAACGGGGGATCTTTGATAATGCGGGTAACTTTGATACTCTAATATAAAGATTAAATTTACTCGCTGCGCTTTTTCCAAATTAGAAACATTGGTTTTCTGTTGATATCGTTTATAGTTTTTATATAGGGTATACGTCCCTAACCTCGGTCTAATATGCAGCCATAGATTACGTTTTTAATCATAACTCATCAATTAATTTACCTGCAAACGATATTCTACTGCTAAATGGTATGCTTAGATATGCTTATCATGTCGTTTGCTATCAGGAACCGCAAAAAGTTGAAAAACTTACTTTTTTTAAGACAAAAACTCACCAGGGAAATGTATGTAATATCGGTCTATTGTCCCCAAATTGGGTCTATTTATGGATGCAACTTCGTCCTATCCTGTTTGATTCTCAAAAAAAACGCTCTTGGTAACGTTTTCTTATGTATTTTTTTTTATCACTATCACTGTTAACTTAATACTCTTCATTCCTCAAAACATTTCTTAGAGAAAATTTTACGAAAACTACATTAAATCACTCAAGTTAAAAATTAAAAATTAAAAATTTCGCTTATCGTCTTTCGACCGCAGAATATCTAAATCAAAACATTGTGATGTTCATTATACAGATTTGGCAGAAAAAATCTCCCTTCCTGTTCGTTCCTTATCATCCAAATGCAAACCACATTGTTGACGTTACTCTTATTGCTATATGCTGTCAAATGAATTTCATGGGCCAAAGTTAGGAACATAGAAAAGAAATGTGTCCCTAAAGTTGGGTCCATGATTTACTTGTGAAAACGTTGTTAAACAATTAAAATAAACATAAAATATTCAAACAGTAACTGTGAGTTTTACGTCTAGTGTGTATTATCAGGTAATTCCATTCAATAAATGCCATAATCAGGCCATTTGATGATCGTCAGTGCAACCTTCCCATCTTAACCTTAGAAGTCATGGCGGCTAAAAACTCCGAACAGAGTGATATTCTCAACCAGTTTTATTACTTACGAGAGCTGAAAATGTATTGAAATGTTGTGATATAAATTGATTTGTGTGTGGTACACATTTATCAATCATCAGTGATCAATATTTTCCTTATTTTTTGTGTAATATTCCTTAATTAATTATTTATTTGCGTGATAGGCCGAATGAAAGGACTAGACCCACATTACATACCGTAACCCTACTATGGGTAACATATTTTACACACATATTAAAAAACAATTTTTGTGTTTTTTGCCTTGTTCGACGGGTCGGGGAAAGCTCTGCAAGCGAATGCAAAAGCTTCGTGACGGACAAGTCTACAGGGATAAGCGGCGCCGGTGGTGTAGTGGTAAGCGTGATTACCTTTCACCCCAGCAGGCCTGGGTTCAATCCTAGTCGGCGCCTCCAGGATGTTCCTTCGGATGAGAAGTAAAGCCGTTGGTCCCCGGTTCATGAGTTGATGGGTCGATAGGTAGGGTCCAGGTGTGGGAGCTGCCTTCCTGGCACGTCGGTAGCATTGGTGCTAAGCACCAAAAAAAAAAAAATCACTTATGAAATGTATATTCCGATATAGCCATAACAAATTCTATGTTGTATTCTTATTGCTTATGAGGTTTTCTGATTATACACTTATTCAAACTTTCATATTTAAAGAACTAAATTGTTAGAGTTTCCCCCATTTTTTTCTACATTAATCGAGCATTATCAAAGTAACCCCAAATCAAAAACTGAAGTTCGGTCACAAAACTAAAAAAATAGTGTAAATGCTTTAATTCCCGTTAAACATATTAGTAATGACTTAAAATTTGAAAAACATTCATTGCTGTAAAAAATATTTAGAATATACGTTAAAAACTATCAATGTTACCCCGTTTTACGGTACTATTTTTCAAGGTTCAAACTCTTCTGTCTTCATGAGTTTACAGATTAATTGTCGATTAATTTTTGAATAGGTCCTATGTCCATTTGCCGATAAAAAAAAGTAGAAGGGTCTGTGCCTAGGGGCACGAACGGAAGCTTGACGTAGGACCGCTAGTGGACGGAATAAATGTAAAGAGCATTAAGTTATTTTAATTGATCAAATCAGGCATAACATTTGATAACGGCACAAAAGCATTTGTAAACAAACATTCTAAGGCCCTTTACACGCGAACTAAAGTACGCCCACGCAAACCAATACCACTTTCGGAAAGGTGATAGTTGCCCCTATGCGATGATGTTGTTGGTTTGCGTGGGCGTACTTTGGTTCGCGTGTAAAGGGCCTTAGAAGGTTTGTTTACAAATGCTTTTGTGCCGTTATCAAATGTTATGCCTGAAATATCTTTCCGTTTTTCAATTGTAGGCGATCCAAATTTGTAGTAATCTTTTTCAAAAAGAAAGTTGATTACGAGAATCAATCAAAATCACTTGCACCCCTGCTTCCAAGTTTGTGTGGTCGTTGGGGGCTTGTGGTTCTGAATATGGACAAACAAGCACAGATACATTCTATTCCAACTCTTTACTGATGTAAGCTTGATGGCCCTGAAAAGGGCCGTTTTATTGAAGAGGATATCCATGGCCACTAGAGTGATGCAAAATTTGAAATTTTCGCTCCACAATACTTAAACGATTCCAAATCGGATCCTGACTAACCTCTCAAAATTTGAACCCATTTGGTGAGAAAATGAGATGGCACAAACCATTTAAAGTTTGTATGGGAATTACTATGGTAAAACCAAGATTTTTGTTCATGTCTATCTAATAATTCACCATATCGGTCAGCTTCAAAAGCTTTCATATGTACTTGTAGGAAATTTTCCCAGCTACAACTTTGCTCAAGACCACTTTTTGATTAAATGGAAGGATCAAAAGTTATCAATGGTTCAATGCGCTGATGTCTTATGATCAGGCTCAATCAACTGCTCAGCAGGCAACATTGGTGTTTCTGAGGCGTTGAATCATAGAGGTAACTCTAAGACCACTGGGTCCCGAAGAAAATCATTATTATTTTTGGCTCACTCAGTACCAGAACAACGGTCCCAAGCAGTCCCAAGCTATTTCACTCACCCCTGCATGTTCTGCATGAATCCACACACCCCTGATGTTATCTGTCAAACTTTCATAGCGAATCAAAACAAACATAGTGTAGTAATAGAATTTCAACTAGAATAGGGTACGTTAATCGTTTGCTTGGGACCAATAGGCTACTAAAGCGGTGAGCCAATTTAAAATCGTTAGTTTCGTATTGATTGTTGGTTGAATAGGACACAAAAATCACGGCTACTATGTCTCACTGCAAAATACAGTGTTGCCTACAGAGCAGCTGCTTAATCATGTCATAAGTTTAACAATCTCGTAAATAATTAATAACTTTTTAC